TTTAAGGACGTCCCTTCAGTTTTCTTCTCGAGAATGGCGCTGCTAGATAAAAAGCGAACCTCTAAACCTTCCCTACCCTTCGAAACGGGGTTACGATTCCCTCCACTTCTATACAATTGCTTTCAACAGAAGGAGGGGAGATGTCAGTCAAAGCAGAGACATCATTAAAGGTCTGCAAAGGGAAGGAAACGTGAACAGCAAAGCTCATTATATGTCTAGAACTCGCCTGTGACTTGGTACTTGGTGCTTATTTCCCATGCTACACCAAAGCCGCCCTACATCTTGCAGAAGGAACCTTTTTCACACACCCAGTCATTGTGGCGAACATAGAGATTTCGCTGGCGACAGATGACGCAGATGACATCAGCTACGCCCTTTTTCAAGATGCAGCCATTTGCATGAACATTCTAGATGACCTTTGTGCGCAACTGACATACATTTCTGATGACGAGAGAAAGAAACTCATTGATGTCCTGCTTATGTAAGCGAACACATTTTCATAGCAAGGTGCTAACCTGAGATGAACAAATATCTTCAAGCATACAATTAACATCGGCGAAGCTAGACCCATCTGGCCACCACACAGACGTATTCCACCACCTCCGCTAGAAGAAAACCGTCTGGTCGAAGTCATGAAGTCGCAAGATGCTAAAACAGTTACCTCAGTTTTCTTACATCAGTGGGTTTCCCAGCACTCATAACGATCAAGACCCTAACTACGAGAGCCGACACTTCACTGAACTATGTAAGACCTATGTAAGACATCTGCAAGGCAACGGGTAGGTGAAAAGAACGATTTGCACTCTGATCGGACTACTGAAGGCCATCACTGAAGATCTACAATCAGACGACTACGATTTGAGCGTACGACGTGTCCTTCTGACATACAGGACTCCAGTTCATACGACAACGGGCATTTCTTCTTTTACGATGCTCACAGGTAGTGAAATGAGAGTGCCTTCCGACATTTTCCTGCCAAACACCGACGGATCAGCTAACAATGTTTCAGAGTATATACTACGCCTGAAAGAAGCTATAAGAATAACTTTTGAGATAACAAGCACACATTTACGACTGCCTTATATCAGACAGAAGAAATATTATGATCGACACAGCCGTACGAACTGCTACGGAAAAGGAGGATTAGTGCAAATATGCAGATCGTTTCCCCTACCTGTAATACATCACAAGTCCCATCACCCATGGAGCAAGGACCCATTTTGGCTGGTGAAAGCCTTCCCAGCTGCGAACTACCTCGTCCGCAACGCACAACTGAGTACCCAGCCAGCATCCATTCACCATAACAAAATGCGATCATACAAAGTGGCACCACTGGTTGAATATGAA